CCATCGACACAGTACCTGAGGAAGTGGAACTTCACGTCGATGTGTTTACTCCGGTCATGCAGAACTAGATTCTTCGCGAGGACGATGGCGGGCTGGTTGTCCACCATCAGTGCTGGTGGGTGAGCTTCCACACCGGTCAGTTCGCCCAGCAGCCGGCACAGCCACACAACTTGGCACGCCGCTGTGGCCGCCGCTACGTACTCTGCCTCGCACGTAGATAGCACCACCACCTTCTGTTTCAGCGACAGCCATGAAATTAGGGTTGACCCAAGGAAGACGAGCATGCCAAAGGTGCTCCATCGTCCGTCGATGTCCCCCGCCATGTCTGCATTGCTGAACACAATGAGCTGCAACCTACTCCTTCCCTCGTCGACGCGTCCCCATGTCTTGGGAAAGATGATCCCTTGATCCACCATCCCCTTGACGTAGCACAGTAGCCGCTTCACCATAGCCCAGTGATCCTCTCTGGGATCCTACATGAAGCGATTGATGTAGTACACGGCGAACGCAATGTCCGGTCTCGTGTGGACTAGGTAGCATAGACCGCCAATGATGCTCCGGTAGAGTGTTGCATCCACCTTCACCGCAGTGTTGGCCTTCGTCAGCTTCAGCCGCTCCTCCATCGGAGTTACGCATGGCTTGCACTCAGCCATGCCGCTCCTCTCCAACAGCTTGGAGGAATACGCGCTCTGACCGAGCGTGAGTTCCTCCTTCCCCTGTCTCGCCTCGATGCGAGGTAGTAGGAGAGTGCGCCAAGATCGCTCATTCAAAAACGAGCCCCTATCTCGCGCTTGAAGCTGTTGATATCCTCCGTGCGCGCGCCGATGATGATTAAGTCATCCACATACACACCGACGATGAGCTCCTCCTTCCCCCGTCGCTGTGTGTAGAGCGCGTGCTCGGCTGCGCACCGCTGAAACCCAAGCTCGTCCAGCGTGGTGTCAAGCTTAGCATTCCATGCTCGTGGGGCCTGCCACAGCCCGTAGAGCGTCTTGCGCAGTCGGAGCACCTTGTGCTCTTCCTTGACGACGAAACCTGGAGGTTGCCTGACAAAGACCGTCTCCGCTAGCTCGCCATTGAGGAAGGTCGATTTAACGTCCAAGTGATGGATGCGCCAGTCCTTTGCTGCTGCCAAGGCTAGTAGCGAACGGACCGACTCCATGAGCGCTACTGGCGCAAAGACCTCCTCGAAATCTATGTCCTCGCGCTGAACAAAGCCTCGGGCGACGAGGCGCGCCTTGTGCTTGACAATGGCGTCGAGCTTGTCCCGCTTGACCTTGTACACCTAGTTTAGGCTGATCGGACGACATCTTGAAGGTGGATCGACGAGCTGCCATGTCTCATTTTCCTCGATCACCTTCATCTCCTCTAGCATCACCCGTCGCCAGTTTTTGTCTCGCTCGGCTAGCGTGAACGTGGGTGGTGGTTCCTCTGCACTGATGAGCAGCAGCTCTGCGTCATTGAGCAGCCGACCAGCTAGTCCTGAGGGTCCTATGCCGCCGACGATGTCGTCTAGCCTATGAAACCGCACATCCTCACCTTCGTGGAAGGCATCCACGAACTCAGTGATGTCACCTAGAGGTGAGGCGAACTCGATCGATGTCGATGGAGTTCCCTGTTCCGCCGGAGGGCTCGGCCCAGTACCTAAAGTGCTCGGCACCCCAGGTGAAGTGCTCGGCACTACTCCTGGACTTCTCGTCATCACTCCTGCAGTGCTTAGTACGACTGCAGGAGTGCTCAGTCTCAGTCTTTGAGTGGTTGGCACCATAGCAAGACGTCTTGGCTCTACCACGGGAGTGCTCGGCACCCATCCTAGAGTGGTCGCCACCACTGCAGAACCTCTCGGCACCACTCCTGGCGTGCTCGGCATCCCTCCAGGAGTGCTTGGCACTCTTCCCTGAGTGCTCGGCATCCCTCTCGAAGTGCTCGACACTGCCCTAGGAGTGCTCGGCTCTACCGCTGGAGTGCTCAGCACTCCTCGGAGTGCTCAGCACCTCTTTCCTAGCGTCTCCACCACCATGGATGACCAGGTGCTCAATGACGAAGGTGCTGGTGAAGCCGCCAGCTTCCCCATGCTCAGACTGCTCTGGTTCCAAGCCGCCTTCTCGTCAAACACGACGTCGCGCGAGACAAGCACCTTGTCTCTGCGTGGGTCGTAGAGCCGGTACACCTTGGTACCCTCCGCGTAGCCCAGGAACACCATCGGTGTGCTCCTGTCCTCTAGCTTGGTGAGGTTCAGCTTCATCTTCCTGACGTGGCCGATGCAGCCGAATGTTCGGAGGAAGGACACGCTCGGCTTACGCCCATACCAAGCTTCGAACGGCGTCTTGCCCGTCAGGGCCTTGGTCGGAGCGCGGTTGAGGATGAACACCGCCGTGGTCACCGCCTCCCCCTAGAACCTTGCTGGCATGCCTTTGGCCTTCATCATGGATCGGGCCATGTCGACCACCGTCTGGTTCCGTCGCTCCACCACGCCATTCTGTTGTGGCGAGTACGGCGTGGTGTGGTGTTGCTCCACATCCTGATCCGCGCAGTACGCAGCGAACTCCACCGAAGTGAATTCGCCACTGCGATCAGTTATCAGCACGTGGAGCTTCTTGCCGCTCTCGGCCTTGGCGCACATCTTGAACTTCTAGATCATCGCCGCCGCTTTGTCCTTGCTCGTCAGGAGTTGCAGCCACATGTAGCGACTGCAATCATCCACGAGCAGAAGGAAGTACCGTCGACCACCGTTTGTAGCAGGCATGATCGGCCCACAAAAGTCGCCGTGGACAAGCTCGAGAGCGTCCTTCGCGCGGTACTTGGCTGCCTTTGGGTATGGTAGCCTCCTCTGCTTCCCGGTCAGGCAGCTGTCACATAGCTCGCCTCCGTGCTTGATGTGGGGTAGCCCTCGGACCATCTTCTTTGGCCGACCAAGCGCGTCGAAGCTAAGATGTCCGAACCAGGCATGCCACATCCACGGTTCCTCGAAGTGCCTTGCCACTAGGCACACCAGCTGCACTACCTTCAGGTCGAGCAGGTACAACCGGTTCAGGGACCTCTTCATCTTGGCAAGAAGTCACTTCTCCCGGTCCCTGATCCTAAGGACTCCGTCCTTGATCAGTACCCCGCTACCGCGCTCATCCAGCTGACCAATGCTGATGATGCTGGAACGCAGCTGCGGGATGTAATATACATCTGTTAGCGCGCGGTGCTCCCCGTTCTGACACCTGAAGATGATGGTGTCACGCCCTTGGATAGCCACCTTTGAGCCATCACCAAACTTCACCGTACCGGTAATATCGTTGTCGAGCTCAGAGAAGGATGCCTTGGAGCCCGTCATGTGGTTGCTGGCACCAGAGTCTAGATACCATCGCTGCTCCTGGTCGGTGTCCACACGTCCGAGGTGGATTTGGACGCGTGGTTCGTCGAGGTTAACAGTCTTCAGGGCCTTCCCAGGTCCTTCCATCGTCGTCGTCTCTTTCTTCTCCTCGGCCTCGACGTCGTGCAATGCACAGAACATCACCATCCGGATAGTGGCTTCATCCTCATCATCAGCTTGCGCTAGATGAGCCTCAGCTTTCTTCTCCTGCATACGATTTGGGCACTCCCGTGCCCAATGGCCTATCTTCCCGCAGCGCCGACAGACGTTGGGGTCGACCTGCTTCTTCTTCTCTGAAGGAGCCTTGACGCGGCGCTTGCCATCGCCACAGCGGCTGGAGGAGGCTGCCTTCCCGGAGTTCCTCCGAGCAGCCCACTCCTCTTCCGTTAGCAGCAATTTGCCGCTGTCCTTCGTTGGTGTCGCCTGCTCCAGGCGCTCGTCCACCGCCCGCAGACAGCCTGTCACATCCTCAATGGTGAGGGTGGACAAGTCCAGCATCGTCTCTATGGAGAGAGCGATCTGGATGTACTTTGCTGGCATGAAGTAGAAGTACTTGGAGACCACCTTCTCTTCGTTGATGGTGACACCATGGCTCTTTACCTTGCTGATGAGCGTCTGCAGGCGGAGGGAGAAGTCCTCCACCGTTTCACCATCCTTGAACTTGAGGTTGGCGTACTCCTACTTTAAAAGCTGGGCCGTCACTTTCTTTGCGTGGTCGGAACCGATGCGCATCGCCGCAATAGCCTCCCACGCCTCCTTAACCGAGCTCTTTACCCCCAACGGCTCCCTGTACTCCACCGGTACAGCAGCAAGGATAGCTTCCAACACTGACATGTCATCTTCTTCATTGTCGGTGCCCTTATCAACAGCATTCCAGAGCCGCCGGGCTTTGAGCTTGACCTTCATGGTCACCGACCACTCTCCATAGTTGGTGCGAGTCAGCGTCGGCCAACTGGTGTCACCGACCTCCCGCACCGTGCGAACAACGACATCCGATCGTGGCTGGGCAGCCACAGCAGTGCCACTGCTGTTGCCCATCTCCGAACCGCCCGTCATCACCAGTGGTTAGTCTGGCGACGGCGTTTGTACGGCTCTGATGCCACTTGTTAGCCCATAGAAACACCGGCTCAGGTGAGTGAACCACTCTTCAGTCTTACCGAGCATCCGCTAGTGTTGTCGAGCACCCACTAGGTAAGCCGACCACGAACAAGCGTTGTCCGTCCCCACACGCTATGGCTCGAGGTTGAAGAAGAGAGAGAACAGAGCATACACACACAATACAAGACACCAGCGCTGGCCGAAGCCCTGTATGAGAGATGACAAATCTGAACTCTCTTTACTGAGTTACCGTAGTAGTCTATTTATATAACTTTATCTATCTAGTCCTAGTATAGCGCACATTATGTAACCGTAACCAGATAACATATCGGGCTGACTCTACGCCAGCCTCTGCATATAGCTACACTGCTGCAGGTGAGCTACACTGCTATAGGTGAGCCGTGTGGTGTCTACACTGCACAGCGGCTACAGTATCACAGCAAAAAGGTCTTTTCGACGTCTTTTTTCCTTGTGTTTATTCTAACAAGACCTCTCCCCGCAGCAGCGCATCTCCGTCGGCCTGCTCCTCTCCGTCCTCGCCATGGTCGCCGCCGCGCTCACTGAGCGTGCCCGCCGGACGGCCTCCCTCGCCGGCGCCACGCCCTCCGTCTTCCTGCTCGTGCCGCAGTTCTTCCTCGTCGGCGCCGGGGAGGCCTTCACCTACGTCGGCCAGCTCGACTTCTTCCTGCGCGAGTGCCCCAGGGGAATGAAGACCACGAGCACGGGGCTCTTCCTCAGCACGCTCTCGCTCGGCTTCTTCTTCAGCACCACCATCGTCAGCGCCGTGCACGCTGTCACCACCTCAGGCGCAGGCGGGCGGAGGTCCTGGCACACCGACGACCTCGACCAGGGCAGCCTCCACAAATTCTACTGGCTGCTGGCCGCCATCATCGCCGTCAACCTGCTGGCCTTCGTGGCCGTGGCCAGGGGATACGTCTACAAGGAGAAGCGCCTGGCGGAGGCGGGCATCCACCTCGTCGCCCACGATGACGACGTCCTCGTCCATGCCTCAACTGCTGCTGAATGAACCTGAACGTTTGTCTGATGAATGCATGCATTGCATATATTGTAGGAATACTCGGACGGACGGACGGGCAATTAGATAGATAGATCAACATCGGATTATTATATATATATTGTGGATTCTACTAATTGATCAACAATTAAGCACATGCATGCATAGCATTCCCAAGATTAGTGGGGAATCCAAGCATGCATCCCCAAGGCCGGAAAATTAAAATGCAACGATTTGAAGTTTGCAGAGCATACGCTGGTGTATATATATCCGCATGAGAAAAAGAACAGTTGCATATATATTATTGGCAACAGCTTCAATCAAATATATAATAGCGATAACATTTGCAAATTTGCACACGAAATATCATGCATATATAATCGCCTGGTACGGTAATATGATGATATATATAATATACGAACGTCGTACAGCCCCCAGCCTCACAGATCTTGGGAAACCAGAGATATATATGATGGGAGCAAGCTAATTAAGATGTATTTTCATTTTCTCGCCGCCGTTTATTTCATGTCAAAACTTATATACTACGTACTTGACTTCCTACACATACAAATCTGAGCAGCTCAACGTTGGGGCTCAGAGGTGATGATCTGTCTGCTGCTTTCGGCTGCCGTCGAAGACTTCACCAAATATATCATGACATCCATCCCATTTCCCCTGCTCTCTCGCCTCCCAGTAACCTCCCACATAGCGGAATGTCCCGTCGCTGCCATCCCTCCGGAACCATCTTGGTTTCCAACCACTGTCCTGCATCGTCCGTGACTGCAAGCAAAGCCACCGTCAAATTAGAAATTCCAATTAGAGCTCGCTTTCCCACAAAAATGCGAAGAAAGATATATATATAATATATACCATTCGTTGCCTCGTCTCCAGTCGCAGCTTCTCAGCATTGGCCTTACCATACTCCCCGTTCTCTACATGTCGCTGATCTGGTCTGAGTCTTGAATCCGTTGGTGGAAGTCTCTCCTAAGCAATTAGTTGACAGTTTCGTGCTTCAGAAGTGGCGCGAAGAATAAATGATAATAATGATCCAAGCATGCCAGCAGGTCTATCTACCTTGAGTTCTGGAGTCAACTCGTTCAGAGTTATTGCGAATGATGAAAGGTTATAGCGAGTAGGATTAGTTGAAGGTTCATTTTTCTCCCACAACAGAAGAGTCGCATCTGTATTCTGGCCTGATGCACTGCAGTTTACTCTGGGTGCATCGTTAGAAATGGTGCAGTACATGCTCTCATCCCACTTTCCCATTAGGGTCGCAACCTTGGAACCATCAACATCCTTAACGAATCCTTGAACCTTGCATACAACTAGATCCATGAAAACGATTCCCAAGGAGACATGGGAGTGTTACGGGAACTGTTAGTCATACTGAATTTTACCTGGCGAGGGTTGCGCTCAAGGAAAGATTGTTGTTTGAATATCAGCTTGCATGAATATCCCCTGTTCCCACTTATATTCATCGTGCCATGGTGATGACAATAAACTCTACCGATGATAAGGTTATTAATTGTTGTTGTAACCTGGTATGGAGATTAAAAATAATTATTTGTTTTTCTAAAGAGTAAAGTGAAAAAACTGAAACTAACACATCAAAGGTCACTGCGTGCACGGGAAGATGGTGTGCTACAATACTTGTAGTTGTAGACCTGCTACAAAAAGGCTCGACACTAGAAATGGGTGAGTGTATTGGCAGTCTGCTAGTCATGCCACCAACAATCAAGAAAAGGATATTTACCTTACTCCATCGGAAAGTTTCTCCATCATCAAATTCTAGAGTTAACACACCAACAGGATCCAGCTGGATTGTTTGCCCCCAGAACTTGCTCTTTACATTGCTGTCGCCCCAAAATTTCCAGCCGTTTCCTTCACAATGGCAAGCCATGACCATTGGATGATGACTAACCTGGTGCCAGAAATAGAGCATCATAATTAATTCCAGCTAGTTTGTACTGAAGGTCTAGCATCATAAAACAGTATCGATGTGACCACAACAATCAGTTGACAGGAAACAATGAACCAATGATGCACCGTGTCACTTTTCATTGAAATTAAATCACTGCTCTGACTTCTTGTTTTTTTTTCAACTGCTGACGAAAGCCAGGCGGAAGTAAATAGGAAACTAGAGTTGTGGCGGTAGACCCTTGAGTCTAAAGGTTTTAGATTAAGCAGAACTAAAACCGAATACATGAGATGTGACTTTGGCGAAGCTGCACCGGAGGAGCGAGATGTGAGTTTGGAAGGTCAAGTAGTGCCTAAGAAGGATACCTTTTGTTATCTAGGATCGATGTTACAGAGGGATGGAGATATTGATGCGGACATCAGCTATAGAATCAAAGCAGGGTGGATCAAGCGGCGACAAGCTTGTGGCATTCTTTATGAGAAGAGGGTACCACAAAAGCTAAAAGGCAAGTTTTATAGAACGACGATTAGACAGGCTATGTTGTATGGAGCAGAATATTGGCCTACAAAGATTCGGCATGTTCAACAATTGAGTGTTGTAGAAATACGTATGTTGCGATGGATTTGTGGTCACACAAGAATGGACCGAGTTAGGAACAATTATATACATGATCGCCTAGGGGTAACACCAATTGGAGAAAATCTTGTCTAACATCGGTTCAGGTGGTTTGACCATGTCCAAAGAAGACCTCCAGAGGCACCATTGCATCGTGGAGTCCTAAGCCAAGCTAATAATGTGAGGAGAGGCAGAGGTAGACCGAAATTGACATGAGAGAAGGCAATAAAAAAGAGATTTGAAAGCTTAGGATATACCTAGAGAGATCTATGTTTGAATAGGAGTGCTTGAAAAGCAGCTACTGAAGTGCTGAACCGTGACTAGGGGCGCTCGGTGGGTTTCAACTCTAGCCTACCCCAACTTGTTTGGGACTAAAAGGCTTTGTTGTTGTTGTTGTTGTTGTTGAAATACTGATTTAGAAACTAGTCACAGTACATGTTCAACAATTGAGTGTTGTAGAAATACGTATGTTGCGATAGATTTGTGGTCACACAAGAATGGACCGAGTTAGGAACAATGATATACGTGACCGCCTAAGGGTAACACCAATTGGAGAAAAGCTTGTCCAACATCGGTTTATGTGGTTTGGCCATGTCCAAAGGAGACCTCCAGAGGCACCATTGCATCGTGGAGTCCTAAGCCAAGCTAATAATGTGAGGAGAGACAAAGGTAGACCGAAATTGATATGAGGGAAGGCAATAAAAAGATATTTGAAAGCTTAGGATATACCTAGAGAGATCTATGTTTGAATAGGAGTGTTTGGAAAGCGGCTACTGAAGTGCCTGAACCATGACTAGGGGCTCTCGTTGGGTTTCAACTCTAGCCTACCTTAACTTGTTTGGGATTGAAAGGTTTTGTTGTTGTTGTTGAAATACTGATTTAGAAACTAGTCACACTACATAATTCAGTAAATATTGCCAGTTCATTAATTTGTGTCAGGAGACCAAGCATACCTCTTATGATTTAACAGAAACAAAAAAGGGTGACTTTTTAACAAAGAATAGACCTTTTCAGAGAAGAAACGGATTTCATTTTCAGGGTAATCAGCTTCATAGGTTTCCCCTAACAATGGATTGAAAGGTTTGCAGGGGCGCCCATCCGAGGAAGCATACCCAGAAACCGCAAATGCAGCAACGTTAAGAATTCTCATCAAACTGTCCCCCTGAATTCAGAAGCATAATAATTGAGAAATTATTTAACAAGTCAAATCTAGTTAATAAACCTTACAATAAAGATTCTAACTCAACTAATTAATTATTGAGTAGGAATTTGTAGCAAGAGTAATACCTTTCGGCCACATTCATATGCACGATCCAACAAATAAGAATATTCCAAGTCCTCAAAGCATTTTTGAAGAGATGATAATGGTTCGTTAAAGTAAACAGGCAGACATACTCGTGTAAGATCTCTTCCGACATTATCCTTGATCATTGACCAAAGACTAACACCCTTTTCCTTCTCAACTGGATCAGGCAACTTCGTGCGACGCTTGAAAAACGGCGACAGGCATTCACTGTTACCCATACCAGCTTTTGGTTTCACAAATTTATCACCATATAGAAAGGTATCCTTGCCAGAATTTGAACCTTTCATCTTCAAGCAAGAAATTGCTGCTGAATCGCTGAAACTCTGCCTTGTATCATAAAAATGATAGTCATCATCATCCAAAATTTCATCCAACTCCTGTTGTCCAACATCATCAGAAGATTCTGTATTGCTGCTCTCTGATGTTAAATTAACAGTAAGCAAACATGTTAAAATATAGTTTAAGGGGAGGGGAAGGGGAGCATGCATGTTTTGAAGACAGAATTAAGTGCATATGTTAGAATAATAAAGCAAGCATAAACAACAAGTGAAAGAAAAGGATTTCAAAAATCAAGTACCACTACATTTTCCCTGTACAGAGCTCGAATATTCAGGTTTCATCAAGTGCGAGTGGAGCTCAATCATATTAGCATTATCATCTGCACTAAGTACCTGAAAAACACAGTATATCATCATGAAACCATGAAAAGGAATTGCAACAGTCAAGAAGGTGAATGTGCACAGTAAACATGATTTCTGTAGAAGGCAGTTGCCAATTGGTTGATAGGTCAGTAATGCATTTCTACAATGAGAACATGGCCAATAGAACAGAACTCTAGATACATTACACGCACACAAAAACCAAAGGGTTTTGGCGTAATATATCTAGAGTTCTGTGTTTTAACAGAGGACACATCCTTTTGTGACCAAGCAGAGGAGTTGATTCAGCATCCTTGTGTCCTGTGTTTTCACTCGATAGGTCTGGACTCTGATCCTGAACAGATTAGGATTACTGACAATTACTCCTCGGCCTAGAGTGACTTGCTTTTCCAAATGGTGGTGCCAAGCAATCAACGGGTTTGATAAGAAGATGAGAAAAGGACTGAATTATTTAATCATCTTGGTCGCTTGGGAAATATGGAAATATCGCAATGCTTGTGCGTTTGAAGGAGTTCTTCCAAATGTCAAATTGCTTCTACAAGCTGTAGCTAATGAGGGCATTCTGTGGTGCACGGCTGGAGCCTCTGCTCTTAAGGAGATGCTTCTTCAGCTAAGCACTGAAATATGAGTGCTGTTTTAGTCTACTGTGGTGTGAGTGTTAGGTTCGCGAGTTTCTCTCCCTTGTACTAGGAGTAAACTCTTGTCTCTCCTACATATTATTTCTCTTCTTAATGAAATGACACGCAACCCTCCTGCGTTATTCAAGAAAAAAAAAACATATTGCATAGACTTCAGATGGCTCGCTATGCCTCGTCATTTCTAGAAGGAAACTTGCAGAGAAGTCGAAACAGTTCTTTCTTTCTTTTCTCCTCTTTTGCTTGACATGCAGTTAGTCTTTTTAGCTTATTGGCAAATTTAACTTCTGAACAAGCAGAATCCATCAGACTTAAATAGAACTTAAAGGGGTAAACTGGGTATCAAATGCCTCTGAAGAGCAGAATTAAAACCGAAAACAGTAGGGTAGCATGCCTTCACTAATATACTAATGGGCATATCCTGCAAGAACATTACCTCAAGCTGCTGTGGAAGACTGCTGATAAAGCTTACATATTCTTCACAGCGTTGTTTCATCTGTGTGTGATACTGTGAGAATTCCGAATGGACAATCTCTTCACAGTCTTTAATTATCTCCTCACCAAGGCCTTCTTCATGCATGCGATTTCTAAGCCTCTCTGTAGAAAATGATGCATCATTCTGGTTACTCAATAAGCCCCCATCTGGAGAAGATTCATCTCGAGCAGAAACTAGGGCTTCAATCCAAGCCACTCGTTCATTAGCAGAGTCTGTTCTCAGCTGCAGTGTCTTGGTTGGAGTAATTATGTAGAACCGCCTGTCATCTGACTTGCTTTCACGGAATGAGGAGATCTGGAGATATTTAAACTTGACAAAATTAGCATTCAGAAGACAAAATCAAAGTTATGATGTTATGAAAAGTAGTTTTAGCAATTCATATAACCACTGCAGATCATTGTTAATACATTGATGGGCAAGTCTTGGATGCTGCAGATTATTTGTTTTTTTTAATAACAGAGAGCTGCGTTTTATTCTTTTAAGATAGTAGGTAAGTTATAGAAACTCAAACTATCCAAGATGGAGAAGAAACACAAGGCGAACAACAAAAATAACAATTGGAATGGTATGGTCTATCGGATACGAAGTGAAATAAGTAGGATGGAGACAGTAAATAAACAATAAGCACGGAGAGAAAAGCAAAGGTGAGTGTGTAAAGCGGCAAAAGCTAGTGATCAGAAAAACCACTTCAGCAGATGGTTTCATTTCAGCGCATTGTTAATTTACGAACGCAATTATGTAATGGTACTACTGGTACTTGCAGACAAGACCCTTCACTTTGTGACGGTCGTGTGAAAAGAGAAGTCTTGTTCACGGAAGGGAAAGCATAGCATGGTAGTTCTTGGCTGCATCATCTTTGAAGCAGAGCATGCTAGTTGTTGACAGGCAATCGAATTGTTTGGACAGCAAAGTTTAATCTTTTGGAGCCCATCCCATTCCCACTGGCATTGCGAGTTCTGTTCTGTTGGATGGAGGTTTGTAATGCTATCTCTGTCCCATTAAATCCCATTACCATTCGGTAGCAGACGAGAGAGGCGAGAGCGGGCCTGACCTTGAGGTGCACGAGGCCCACGGGGCGGTCCTGGCCGTATTGGGCGGGCCCAATGATCCGGGTGGCGGCGGCGGCGGACGCGGAGGAGCGGCGTGGGATCTTGGAGTAGGTGAGGACGTCGCCGCGGATGGCGAACCAGCGCGGGCGCCAGCCCTTGCCGATGTTGGTCCACTTGTAGAGCAGCCCGGCCACGGACGGCGGCGGAGGGGCAAGTGGAGGCGGAGGGGATCCTCCGTCGGCGGGGAGGCAGCACAGCGGATGCAAATCCCTCGCCCGCATTACTATTTTCTTTGGGTTCGATTTGGAGCCATGGATCGCAATTCCTCGCTCGCATTTGGCTCCCCTGTCCTCCACTCCTCCTGCTCTTTATATACTACTAGAGAACGAGAAGAAGAAAACCCCTCGCCGGCCTCCTGCTGGCGCCCACTGCACTGACCACTGGTTCTTGCTGACGTCACACGTCTCCTTCTCGAGAGCACTTCACTGCTGCCGATGATTGCCGCCACTCCACGGGGACGGGGCTGCTCACTCACAGGCGCCCGCAGGCCGCAGCCGTGACCAAGACAACAACACTGGCCGTGTGTTTGGATCACCTCCTGTCTCTCTTGCCTGTTCTGTTGGAGATACGGGCAAGTTGGCTGATGAAAAATATTTGCTTAATTAGGAGTCAGATGAAAAGATGATGATTTTTGTATGGTGAAGTAAGTATGCAAAATAGTAAAATTAAGAACCGAAACATTCATTTTATTTTTAGAATGGATGTTTCAGTTCTTAATTTTTACTTTTTTATTTTTCATTTACCTTAGAACTATTAAAGCGACCGTTTCAGTCTAGAAACTTTATTTTTAGGGCTCAACTTCATGTGCGTACTATTAAAATGGTTCCTTTCGTTTTCAAACTTTTTTTTTGGCTCAACTTGTCCCTCATCCTATGTGGCATGCCATGCATCTCCCCATCTCCGGCACACCAACCACGGTAAATTGATAAGAGGTGTGGACTGCGTATAATGCTCAAGCCCATGTCTGTGTCCACCCATAGCTAACCTTGAGAAATTCTAAAATTTGGGATGACCATCTTCAATAACTCTTGGAGTGGAGCTAGGGGCGTGTTTAGTTCCGAAAATTTTTGGTTTTTGTTTACTATAGCACTTTTGTTTGTATTTGGCAAAAATTGTTCAATTATGGACTATTTAGGCTTAAAAGATTCGTCTCACGATTTCTCGGCCAACTGTGTAATTAGTTTTTTTTTTATCTACATTTAGTACTCCATGCATGTGCCGTAAGATTCGATGTGACACTTACTACGCAAATTTTTTTGATTTTTGGGGTGAACTAAACGGGGCTCTAGGTGCCCACTGGCAAACAGCTCAACAAGCACATAGTAAGAGTCTAGCTAGGGATTTTTTGTTTAACAAGCTAGCTAGGGAATATTAGGCCCTGCTTGGATAAACTTAACCAAATCATGTGTAAACCCCTATTATGTTGCGGCACTTATTTATCTTCTTCTTTTCATAGCAAAACCCTCTACGGGGATCCTGGGTGAACTAGATGGCCGTTGAAAGTCGGTTCTCATCATTCAAGACGATAAAAAGTACTCCATCCATTCTAAATTATAAGTCGCTTAGATTTTTGGTTCATTCATTTGCTATATATCTAGACATATTATCATATCTAGATGCATAGCAAAATAGATATACCAAAAAAATTAAAGCGACTTATAATTTGGAACGGGTGAGTAAGTCTCATGTCATGACAATCTCGCCGGAGAGGGAGGCCGGCCAAGAGCGCCACTCACCGGAGAAGGGCCAGGCCTGAGCACGGTCGCCGGTGTGACGTTGGACTCGCTCCCATCTGTGAGATCCGGTAAATCAGTTATCCGCCTCTGAATATAGCAAGAGATTTTTAGAGAGTCGGAGATTGTTTGCACACCTTTATTAATAAATCAGTTGTCTTCTAAAATTATTTTTGTAGTAGTATTTAAAAGGTTATAGACTCACCAGTGCTAAAGAATAACAACCTTATTAACCACAAGCTCAGCATGCTGAGACTTCACATCGGCTAGGGGTCAAGTAGGACATCCCTCGAGCTCCGGCCAACATCCACAAATAAGGCTCCGTTTGGGTGTTGCTGTTTTTTAAAACTGTAGTATTGTGAAACCACAGTTTTTAAAACGTAGGCATGTAATACCATAGTATTTAGAAACCGCAGTGTTTCTCTGTTTAAGGAAAGCCATGGCGTGTTTGGCTACACACCAATACATTGCTTCTGAGACTAGTTGGTTGTGTCTTTGCTGCTAAAAATAGCAGTGAAAATGAGACGTGCCATTAGAGGTAGACAGCGCGTCGCCGAGCTCTGTCAAAAATAAAGAGGGTTGGGACTGAGTTTTTAGACTAAAAAACCATGGTTTTATTAATACCGTAGTTTCTAAAACTCCAAATGAATGACATCCAAACACCTTCTGTCGGGTTCATAAACTCAGGGTCCCTGATGGGCCCGCTTCCCAGCAAAATCTCGGCCCAGCAGACGGCATTACAACAGACGCACGACTCCTGGGCCGGCCCAGATACCTAACGACAGGCCAAAAGAGCGATCCAGTCTCCGACCGAAAGGCATGGCCAAGGAGGGGACAACACTCGCTTCTGACTCCGACCTGCTTTTCCGACCGAGAATACACCGAACCTCTGCTTACAGCTCTTCTCCGACCGGCGCGGTCGGAGCCGACTGAAACGACTGACCGGGGACGCCCACTCGGTGAGGACCCAAGAATCAAGCGGAGCAGATAAGACAAGGCGCTCAAGTCAACCACAATACCGAGGGCCGTACCCCACACACCTGCAGGACAGTACCACCAGGCCATACCAGAAGGGTGCTATTCAACCTTTCAGACATGTCAGAACACGAACAGTGTTATGGGCGTTGTCATTTGTCATACAATATGGTAGGCGCTGACATTTGCCATACCAGAAGAACACGATGGAGCCTGCCACATGCATCTGGCGCGTCAACAGTATTGTGGGCGCCGACAGACTGTCTTGTACCCGACGGCGTGGGCAACAAGACTAAGTAGCACATACACTCTCTTTCTCTCTCTCTCTAAACTTGTAAGGCCGCCCCCTTCACCTAAGGGGATGCGCTCTCTCCTAAAAGGAGGACGGTCATTCTGACTCTCTCTCTCTCTGCTAAGCTTTAGATATTCTGAGCACTCGAACAGCTCCATGACTCTAGAACTCTAAAGCTACACAAAGCATACGTTCCAATACTTAGCGCACGTAAGAGCTCCCGTCACTCTTGGCCCTTCGGTCCAGAACCCGACCGGACATTTAACACCCCCTTCTTATTCTCACTCGTTTGTAACCCCACAGCAAACTTTGAGCACCTGGGCTCAGGAATAAAGTCACTGACTGACTGGAACTGGACGTAGGGCACGTTGCCTGAACCAGTATAAACCATGTGTCATTGAGTGCTAGGCCATATCCGATCACAACGCATGGCAAAACTACAAATATTTACTTGTTGGTCAATTTTCACATCGACACCTTCTTTCTTTCAGATACCAGCATTTTAAAAAATCATGGTATTAATGTAAAACTCTAAAAAAAACTTTGTATGCAAACAGAGCCAAAGCTTTTCTGTAGTAACTAGTAAGTGCCCAATCCACCCCTAGATTAGGCACAATAATACCATCAAGGACACATGCTCCCATGCTTTATAATCCCTCGCAGGTACAAACGGTTGGTAAGCTCATACACATAAGAGTAATATATATTAATAAAAGTAAGAGTAAAGTCCACTAGCAGTCCTTAAACTTTTTCGACTGTATTATCCTAGTCCCTAAACTTGCAAATTGACCGTTCATGTCCTCAAACTTCTTCATTTGAGTCATCTCAGTCCCTAAACTCGCAAACCGCTCGTTTAGGTCCTTAAACTTGTTCGACTGTTTCAATGCACTACTATAGGAAACTTTACCGAGGTAGGCAAAAAGCATTAACCGAGGCGGTTTTTGCAACCGCCTCGGTCGAAAGGTCACGGTTAATCGTGGCCTTAACCGAGGTGGTTGCCCTGCCCGCCTCGGTTAATCGAATAAAAAACAAAAAAAGGAAAAGTCGTGGATAAGCCCGGCGAGCCCATCCACGCGCCACCGCTCCGCTCGTCGGATTCGCACTGCCGCTCGCTGGATCTGCCAAGGAGGATGAGATCCGCGCCGCCCACGCTGGATCCATGCTGCACCAGCCTGGAGCTGCCACTGCCCGTACCTCCACCACGTCGTAGTAGGCGTCGTCGCACCACCGCACCTTCGCAGGATTCGGCCACCAGCGACAGATCCGACCACCACGGTCACGGATCTGGCCGCCAGCAGCGGATCCAGCAACCACGGTCGCCGGAGGAGGGGGGTCGCCTGGTTGTGGAGGAGGGGAGCCGCCGCCGCCGTGGCCGCCGGATTGTGGAGGAGGCGATGCGCACGAGAGAGAGGGTCCCCGTTCTCCGCGCGCACACAAGAGAGAGTGCGAGGGAGGCGCCGTGCGTCGGGTGCCGAAAAAGAGAGAGAGAAAGGCGCTGGGCCGCGCGCGCGGGAGCGTTCGATGAGGGGCGCCGCGCTCTGTGCTACTGAAGGGAGAGGGAGGTGAGGATAGAAGTTAGGGTTTGGTGTGGTCACGGTATATTTACCAGGAACCCGTTAGCGGGCTTAGATGGACTGTTTGGGCCACTATTTACCGAGGCGGGCCTTATAATGTGACCGCATGGGTAAATATATTAACCGAGGCGGTTGTGTTTAGGCAACCGCCTCGGTTAATAAGCATTAATGATTAACCGAGGCGGTTGCTAGCCCGGCTGCCCTATCTCGAATAACCAAGGCAGACAACCAGGCCAACTGCCTCGGAGCCCCAAAGTGAAATGTTGTGCAAAAGATTTTTGGTAGTAGTGTTGGTCCCTAAACTTCTAAATCACCCGTTTAGGTCCTCAAACTTGTTCAGTTGTGTTGTCTCGGTCCCTAAATGTTCTAAATATTCTTCTTTGTTGCCTCACCATAATAGGAAAAAAATACTAATTACTAGCTAGAACTGTGGCTAACAAGTAGATAGGAAGAGTGTAGTAGCTAGGGAATAGGGCTTGTCTGAATAAACCGCTTGAGATCCACATAGAAATAAATTGAAGGTTTGCTATGAAAATGCAGAGGTGAAGACAGCGGCATGAAAGAGAATTAATACAGCATGAGAGAGAGAGAGAGGAGAGAGTATGCCTGGCTTTGGAGGAGCAGCCCCCTCATGTCCTCCATGTGAA